AAATTATTTTCCAAATGTAAGGAAGCTAGAAATTAATTTTGAAGCAATTTCTGGGCGTGTGAATTTCACTTTTTTGCAAATAGACATGCCCTTAAATCACTCACAATTTTAACACCTATAAATCTTGCAAATGGCATACCAAGATAATCCAGTTAACCCAGAATTCTGCTTTTTTGTCAAAAGTTGCATGGAGGCAGATTTTGTTGTACTATGTCATTTACATAATGATATATATGAAATCAACCCTGAATATTCATGGGAAAGAGTGATGCTGAAGCTGAAGCTCCAATACTTTGGCCACCTGATGCAAAGAGCCGACTCATTGGAAAAGATCCTGATGCTGGGAAAGATTAAGGGCAGGAGGAGAAGGGAGTGATAGAGGATGAGATGGTTAAATGGCATCACCAAATCAATTGACATGAATTTCAGCAAACTGGGAGATAGTGAAGGACAGGGAAGCCTGGCATGCTGCAGTCCATGGGATTGCAGAGTTGGACACAACATAGCAACTGAATAACAATATGAAAAATATGTGTACCTTGGACTCATCTAGATCTGGCTTCGGAGAAGGCAATGGCACCCCACTCCAGTACTCTTGCCTGGAAAATCCCATGGACTGAGGAGCCTGGTGGGCTGCAGTCCATGGGTTCGCTAAGACACAACTGAGCGACTTCACTTTCACTTCTCACTTTCATGCATGAGAGAAGCAAATGGCAGCTCACACCAGTGTTCTTGCCTGGAGAATCCCAGGGATGGTGGAGCCTGGTGGGCTGCCGTCTATGGGGTCGCACAGAGTTGGACACGACTGAGGCAACTTAGCAGCCGCAGCAGCAGCAGCAGGTCTGGCTTCAAATTTGAGCTTTTACTGTTTAATGGTTGAGTTGAGGGCTTGAAAAAATTAACCTCGTGCTTGAGAAACTAGTCAACCTAAATTAAATTTCCCCATCTGAGTTTGTCTTATATAAACCTTGAGACTTAAGGCCTTTCTAAGAAGAGTGACACTGATATAAATGAAATAAATAAAACACATGCTGTCCATGAGCAGGTGAGAGGCTCTGAAAAGGTCATTATATAACCAGGAAACCCATTTTAATTCGTCTGGCCCAGATTGTCCTAAACTTTTATCCTTATAAAACCTAATAATATCTTGCTGAATCAGTATTCTATAGAGGATTCTGTGGGAAATCCTGGCTTGCCAGAATGCCAGACATATCTTAAATGTAAAATCCATTTATCTTCCCTTTCCCATTTTATTGTTGACCTCTCAGAATTCTCACCCAGATGCTTAATACTAACTTACAGTAGAACTGTTTAAGTTCTACTCTTTGTTCCTTTAGCTCCTCCACCTAGGCCTCTTCCACAGTCATCCCAACTATCCATGTATTAGTTTTATGGCAGTGCTATAAAAAAGTACCACAAATTGGGTGGCTTAACTCATCACAGATTTATTGTTTTAGACTTCTGCAGCCTGGAAGTCCAAAATCATTGTGTTGGTGGGGCCTTGTTCCCTCTGAAACCTTTAGGGAAGAATGTTCCCTTGTCCTCATTTACCTTCTGGCAAAAATTTTATTTTCTTATGTTATTTCCAAACTCACCTGAATAGGGAGATAAGATCCTGGTGCACATCGCTCATTTTGGAGATGCTATTAATAGTATTATGGGCTTCCCTTGTGGCTCAGATGTTAAAGAATCTGCCTGCAATGCAGGAGACCCAGGTTTGATCCCTGGGTCGGGAAGATCCTCTGGAGGAGGCAGTGACAACCCACTCCAGTATTCTAGCCTGGAGAATTCAATGGACAGAGGAGCCTGACTGGCTATAGCACGTGGGGTCACAGAGTCAAACACAACTAAGAAATTAACACAACACAACATTAGTAATATTGGAATTATTGAATGGTCTTTGAAAATTGATTGGTACTGGCCTCAATTCTTTGCTGTACTACCTGTGAGATTCTGGCAAATAACTTAAATTCTCTGAGGATCAATTTCTCATCTGTAAAATGGGATAATAGTACTTATCTGATAAAGATTAGAAATAAAAATATAAAGTAGTAAGCACAGTTCTGATACATGGAGTGAATTTAATGACTGGGGACTTTACTGATATCGTTATCATGAGGATGCCTTGGATCATGGGGGCGGGCTTCCTGTTTCAAAAGTATTATTAATGTTTTGGGACATTGGCTACTTTCACTTCCTACCTCCATCCAGATTTTCCTTCTGGTTAGCATGAGATTTCAAAGTAAAGCTCCCTACTATAGTGTCAGATAGTTTTATTTCCTCCTCTTCCTGATTCTTTTCATTCACTACCTGCCACATAACTTGAGTTTGTCTCCCTTTCCTGTGAGCCCAAGGATATGGTGGCAGAGATAGGGATGACTAATTCAATTAGCAAGATTAGACACCACTGTCTGATGCCAGAGGGGGAGCCTGTGGAGAGGAGATAGGCATGTAAGTCTCAGGGCCCCGTCAGCAAAAGCTTGGCCATCACCTTGTGTGCCATGTACTATGTCATGTCACTCTGGGGAAAGAGTGCTTCAAATATCAATTTTAGAAATTAAAATGATGCCTTAAGGAAAACGAATACTGGATCCCTTGAAAAAAAGGTTTTCTTTTGCCATTTGTTTTCGTGGAAATCCTTAACAAAAAATAGCTAGATTTGGGATTTGGGTTGGTATTTAATTCAGGGTTGCACAATAGCCCTTCAAGATTCACATGCTTTGGATATGCCTGAATAATCTTGAGAGGTGACTGAATCCTTTTTAAATAGGGGGACCACTTTTATGTACCTTTCTTTAATTGCAAATGTCATGGAAATGTCTGTTTCTAGTTGGCCTGTTTTTTGTTCGTTTGTCCGGGGGAATGTTTTTCTTGTTTTGGGAGTACTCAAGGCAGTTAAATGTGAGAGGACTCCTAAATATTTTAATTGCAGCTGTGACATTTATTACATGAACGACTTTTATCCTTTGGAATTAACCTATAATGTAAACTGCAGAAGTGGGAAGGAGAGAAGAGAACATAGGGCTGCTTAACATGTTTGCTCTTTGTCCTCATTCTGGAGTTTTTGTTTCTAATTCTTTTCACTGGTAGAACACACACTTTCCAGTGGCTTTCTCGGATTTCTTTTCTCAAAGCCTTGCCTATCTGAGCGTATTAACTGGTTGCTTCTACACACAGATGACAGCTTGGCAGGATTTTCCCTTTTTGTCTCTTCTGATCATTTCCATTGGAACTGGGATGTGAGTTGATGGAAAGTAGTTCCAGATCAGTTTTCAAGTAAGAAACATGAAACTCACATGAGCAGGTAATAAATGTTGAATATCAGAGTTCTCTGGGGTAGGGTGGCCAGGGAAGCCTTGATTTATGGTGTTTGCTGATTTCTATGGTATAAATACTCCCATCATGGCTGATTTCAAGCTATGAGATGTTACTCAACACCTAGTTGGAAAGAAATGCACAGTAGCAAACCATTACATAACCTTTCAATTAGATAAATATGAAAAATATAATTCCAGAGCGTAGATGATAGAAAACATAGTAAACATGGTAAAATAGTTAAGTAGTGATGAGTTTTGAGTATTTATCACTTAATTTTTAATATAACGTATTTAATGGTATGCTTTTATACTCTAATTTTGAACAATAGCTGCATTGAACAGCTGACTCTCAGAGTTCCCGGAGATCTAACCATTGGTTTTAACATATTGACTGGGACCCAGAAAAGTCATTGTCCTTCCCAAGGTTCAGTGAATGAGTCATTCACTGAACCAGGATTAGTACAAGTCATTTCTAAAACCCAAATTTCTCTGGAAAGACTTATTGATGTATCTGTTAATTCATTTGTTTATTTATTTGTACTACATGCTTTAAAGATTTAATGAATTTAGACTGTAGCAGACCATTACTGTCTATTGAGACAATGAGTCAAAATATTTGAATATATGTAATTACAACCACAGATGGATGATTAGATTTAGGGCCATAAATGAATCCTGGTTTTGAGTCTTGGTTTTGCTGCTCAACAGCTTACAACATATTTTATTCTCTAGTTCAAATTGTCTAGACTGTGAGATGAAGGAATTGGACCATATGAACATATACTACCTCCTGTATGTCTAACATATCATGATTCATTATTTAGACCCATCAGTTCAACAGCTATTTGCTTAGAATCAATTATATTCACATTTGTTATGGACTCTACTCCAGGCAGAACTGGATATAAATGCAACCAGAGTAATTATTATTAGAATAGCATCTCATGTTAATGCAGAGCCTTTTAATTCAACAAAGAGAAACTTTACTTTGAGTCTCTGAGGTTCTATGACAGTATGAGATCAGGACACATCTTCACAGAATGTTAGCGAGAGCAGAACCTATTCTAAAAGGACAAACAGAACTCTTACTCCTAGGAAACGCAAGAGGTCATAACCAGGTAGTAATAAGGAATAAGGAACAAGCCATGCCTACCAGTTGCTTCACTGATAAAAAAGCAAAATAAAAAATGACTTTCTTCTAATTATAAGATTAATTATTGTAGAAAATTTAGAAATTATTAATGAGTATTAAATAAGGACAATATACTATATACTCAATTTAATAGCTTGCTTTCCTTTACCTAAAATTTTAGTATATTTTATAAAACATTCTCAGTAGAGTCATTTTAATTGCTGAATATGATTCCATTTTTCTGATGTACAGTAACTTAAATTGTTTACATTGTTGACAGTTTATCACTGTGATAAATACCTTTGTTGATATAAAAAAATTGTATCTTGTACACATGATTTCCAATTGTAATAGTTAAGGTTTTTAGTAAGAAGGTTTTGGGCTTCACAGGTGGCGCTAGTGGTAAAGAACTTGCCTGCTAATGCAGGAAACATAAGAGATGTGGGTTCAATCCGGGGGTCGGGAAGATCCTCTGGAGGAGGGCATGGCAACCCACTTCAGGATTCTTGCCTAGAGAATCCCCGTGGACAGAGGAGCCTGGCAGGCTGTAGTCCATAGGGTCACAAAGAGTCGAACACAGCTCAAGTGACTTAGCACATACACACAGTAAGACAGTTATAGTGAATCACAGATTTTGACCTTTAGCATATTTGATTCTGCCAATATTGTTTTGTACTTGCATATATTTTATTCTGTTTCTGAACATTTATTAAGAGGAGCAGTTTGCCTGTATCCTTCAGTAAGATGTATTTGAACTGTAAATAGCACCAATGTTTTCATATCACTTCAAGTAGATATATAATACAGTGGAGAGTTAATAATTTTTTCACTCTCTGCGGGCAATAACTTCCAATACAGAGTTTATTACTTTAGAAAGGACTCAATAAATGTTCAATAAATGAAAAGACTTTGGCTGATTTAGGATAGGCAAAATACATTAGTGAAAGAAGTGAAGGAAAAAAAATATTCATGATATGACTTTCATTTTCATCAAGAGAGATGACAGCTAAGCACAGTCCAGGAACTCTGACCATTAAATGAAACAGTGAAATGAAGTATGTTGTTTTTTTAATTCACCTACATGGGAAACCATGACTCTAATAGTTATTTGATTAAATGTTAACGGGGACTTCTAAGTTGACCCAATTCTTGCCTTTGTGTGTTAGATTTGTCAGTTAAAATAAGACCAATTTCACCTTTCTTTCTTTAACATCTTTGAGTCAACATTTGCTGACAAAAGAAGTTGTAACTACCCTGGTTATTTAAATATTAATGACTTCCATTAAAGGGGGCTGGATGTTTACAGCAGAATGATTGAGAAATTAGATGGTATGATTAGTTCCTTGTTTCTGCCTGCAGGAAAAAAACCTCTTAATGGAAGAGCTCCTTCCAATATGTTTTTAATACCACAGATTTTTTTTTTTCCCCGTGAACCAGTTAGAGAGTAAGATTGTTGACTTCAAGCATTCCTTGAAAGTAGCTGTTATTAAAACATTAGCATAACAAGTTCTTATAATTCAAGAAAAATCTTTTATCAGTACCATAGTGGTCATAATACTTGAGCTTCTTGGGAACCTAATTTCAGTTTCTAAAGTCATTTTGTTCCTTATTATAGTAAGTAGACAAAACCACTCTTAAGTACATGGTCTGGTTGGTTGGGCTTGTTTACACTAAGTCTGGGGAATTCTATTAAGTTAACCATGAAAGACTTGACAAAGGTTATGTATTCAATCAAATTATAATTATAAACTTTTATCTTATTGGAGAAATGTAGCTGAAAACCTTTCTAAATTTGCTAGAACCAATATTTTCCTATTATGCTAAATTGGGTTGTGATTAGCATGTGGTTAATAGGTTACAACACCTTGTATGTTTTTAAGGTATATTAATGACTTGGTATATTAAGGCTCTGAACAATCAGGGCAAGCATTGTATTTGCCTATATTGTATATTTCTCTTTGCATCCAGAATCTGAGTGAGCAGGGTATTTAACTAGCAGTAGTACAGAGTCATTTAATAGCACTGGTGCAAGAATCTTATTACTTAATAGAGTCAGGATTAACAGAAGCAATTGAGGCACCTGCCTTGGATGTAAAATCTAAGAGTGCCAAAAAACTCAGTAATCAAGATAAATAATATTTAATGCAATACTTGAAAAAATCAAAATTAGCTCAAAAAAATCCTTGATAGACAAAATTTCAAAATTAAAAAAAAGATAAGGTCCCACTTTACATCTACATCAGACTCACCTTACCCTCAGCCCAGCCCTGACTGCATACTAGTTCTGATTTCTCTGCTTTGATGTCTGTAGATAAGGTACTCCTTTGAGTCAAATTTTCCATGTCTAAGATTGATGATGATAACCCTTGTTTTCCTGGTTGAGTTATCAGGATGTTCAGATCAGCTAAAAATACATTGGAAAAACCCATTGTAAATACAGTTCACATGTTTACAAGTTTAGGGAATTCACCATCCATTTTTATGCTATTATTATCAAGCAAACATCAGGTTAGAAGATCCTTGAAAAGCTTTGTGTTAATAAAGTGTGAGGTCTATCTTTTGAGTTCACTGGTCAGCTTGCTATAGGGGTAAGGGCTTATAAATGGTTGTAGGATCTTCCCTCTCTTCTTTCTTTCTTTTTTGTTCTTGAATGCAAAGTTTAGTGATTTGTAAGAGATAAAAAGCTGGCCAGAAATCTGTTCTGATTATTTTAAATTTCCCTGCAAAACACCCATGGACAAGTCGGGTCTCACCTTTTCTCAAGCTTTGCCTTCCACCAGTGATGGCTTCCCCATTTCTCCTGCCTGAGTTCCACCCACCTTTTACTCACCTTCCACCTTGGTAAGGCCTTCCTTCCTAGGTTCTCCTGTCCTGAAATATGTTCTGAGTCCTCTGCCTGGAGTGGATGACTGTCCCTCCCTCTCACTTTGTGATTTGTTTAGAGTCCCTGTTGTCTTCATGCTTCCTGTAATCCTTCATAGAATTTATTTTCCAGACCACAGTTTTATAAATAGAAGTTGTTGCTCTAGTTATATTGCCAATCACTTAAATAGCCTTCCATTAGATAGTTAATTTCAGGATGAGCAAGGACTGAGTTGATCTTACTTAGGCTGTATCTAAGGTACTTAGCAAAGAGCTTTATATGTATTTTTTGAGTGACTAAATGAGTGTTTTGCATATAAAGGGGTTTGATAAATATTTACTCTTTGGATTCATTTGTGGAAAGTTATTGTTTTCATTCTAGGCCCAGAGGGAACAGTCGGTGCCATGTGGAAGGCACTTTTTTTGCTGGTCTTGTTGGCGCTCAGCCCTGGTGCTGATGGGCTGTTTCGCTCCTTGTACAGAAAAGCCCATGTTTCCAGACCACGTAAAGGAAACCCAGGACAGCCGTTATTTCTGACTCCTTATATTGAAAGTGGGAAACTTGCAGAAGGTAAGCTTACATCTGAAACCGCTGAAACTGTATACTTTCAACAGTTGTTGTTTTAGCAGATGTCTCACAGGATCCAAAAGACAATATGATATTTTACTCAATTGTTTTATTTCAAATGTTAACAATTTGATATCATATACTATCAGAGTTTTGAGCTAAAAGGAAAGTTCATCAGGGTCAGATTAACTAGTAGTTGAGTCTCCACATAGCTGTTTATAAAACTAGTATATTGCCTGTCTACAAATGGTCATTTAATAGGGCTAATAATAACCTTAGAATTTACTCAGTGTCAGTTATTGCTTCCAAGCATTTGATATAAAATCATTTAAGCATCTCAACAACCTATTTAAGTTTCTTTACACAGAAGATAACTAAAGCAGAAAGAGATGAAGTTACTTGCCAGTCATGCAGACACCAGCTGGTAGATGCAAGGGTCACATCCAGACAGCTGTGAGTCTAAGCTCACAGCCATTGTGCTTGGCCCCTTTGCCTGAGAAGTTATCTGAGTCTTAGGATTCATTTTTCTCATTGGTTAGATGGAGATAAAACAATTCACCCAAGTCGCAGAGATGTTAAAAATATCAGATTAAAAAATGTACATGAAAACTCTTTGTAACCTGTAAGTTGCTCTCTAAATACCTGTATTTGCTGATGGCTTTTATTTAGAGATTGTCCTAATACTAGTACAAAAAGTGTCATTTTGTGTCATCAGAGTCTAAAATTTATGACCTACCTCTACTCTTAATGCTTCTTCATGCTTAGAGAAATCACTGTATAAGATAAATGATGTAATCTTTCTGGACCTCACGATGCTTCTAAACTATAAAATAGTATATAGACAGCTGTCCTGCAGAGCTGTTTGTAAAAGGAAGCAGAGGAATGGGGTGGTGGCTGAGGAGAGTTATGGAGTCAGGAAGGGTCATTAAGAGGGTGTGAGATAATGACAAAAGTGGTCCAGTAGAGAGGGGAAAGGTGATGGGATGGGACATCTTTTGGTGGAGCATATCTTGGAGATGAGCATCCATAGATGGAAGTCTTGGTGTTTGCTTTGGATTTTATCCCTAGTCATATGTAGGAAGGCAGACTTAATCCTTGTGAAGCTGATATGCTGGTAGGTTTCATGGGCATGTGGAACTGAAACTAGAAATTTTAGGGAAATGATCATTTTAAAGATAAAAAATAAATGCATATACTCTGTATGGAAGTTTAAAATAAAGCGACTTTTCTTCATTTGAAGAGATCTCGTAGTCAATAGACTGTCATCATTTTTTTTTTTTAATTTAAAGCCAAAACATTTTCCCCTCTTATGGGTGCATTTGAGTTCTGTTAATGTATCTTTGCCTGAAATATGCATTGATTCCGTGTTTCATCATGTTTTTTGGTAAGAAAAGATGAAAAACTTTGATAATATAGTCAATGATAATATAATGAGGCAATGCTGTCTTTTTTTTTAAAAGATTCAATTTTGCTTGGTGCAGAAAAGTCATGAAAATATGGCAGCCCAGTGGTATAGGCTGATGTCACTTGACATAAATGAAGAGGCAAATTATCATTGATCTAAATCTACCCAGTTGAGTCATATGCATTGCTTTTAGCTTCTTTAATAAGTGGGTGCTGATGACTGAGATTATGTTCATTCACATAGCAGAGTTAAATACTCATCACCAAACCCTACCAATCCACAGATGAGGAGCTTGAGACTCAAATATTTTGTGTGACTTGCCCAAGAGGACACAGGTAATTGTAGCAGAGATGGGATCAAGATCCAGATTTTCTGCCTTCTGCTCTGTAATTCGCCTACTATAATTTATTTTCCTTTGTTTAAAACACTCGTCCTCTTGTGGTCCTCTTGTGGAGTAACCGGATGCACACACGTGAAACAAGGAATCAGGCAATGGACGCTAAAATGCTAAAAGATTACATTTGAGGTAGATACGCGGTCAGTTTTTAGAAGGAAGCTACCTCTGTTGGTTGGCATAATCCAGGTAGAAAATAGTAGTACTAGTAATAATAGTAGTAGTAAGAAATAAATAGCTAACGTTTAGTTGTAATTATATCCCCTGTTCCTGCCACAGTGCCTGTATGTAATAGGCACTCAATAAATATTTATAGAATTTGAATTTGAGACCTAGCTATGTTCCAGGAATTATGCTTTACACACATTATCTCTTTTAATCCTTAGAGCAACCCTAATGAAGAATGAATAGTTATTGTTCTCATTTTATAGATGAGAAAACTGAGGCCTAGAGAAATTAAGTATCTTGCCCAGGGCTATGTAAAGCTAGTAAGCGGCAGATCTGACTTTAAAACCTGTCTCTGCTGAGTCATGATTCCTGGGTCAGGAAGATCCCCTGGAATAGGAAATGGCAATCTACTTCAATATTCTTGCCTGGAAAATTCCGTGGGCAGAGGAGGCTGGCAAGCTATAGCCCATGGGGTCATAAAAAGTCAGACACAACTGAACACGCACACACACACATAGACACACACACAGACACACACACACACACACACACACTGCTGACTCACAGCTCAAGGTAGGAACCACTGTGCTATGTGGCCAGACTTGAAGATATAGGGTAAGATTTGGGCAAGTAAGAAAGAGCCTGTACATCCTGAGTGAGGAAGACAGCTTAAACAGCATTAAGGGAAAGTGTCTTTGAATTGTACATCAGGTAGAACCAAGTGCAGAGAATATAGAGAAATCTGCCTGAGATTATCCACATCCCACCCATTCCTGGATTTCTTGCCTATGAGCATTTCCCTCTTATGGATGTTAATGGTAGTAAAGAAAGATTTCAAGGGAGATAGTTTTATTTTCTATCCTTTTGTGCCAACCCTGTTAGATCACCATCTGATAAGTGACAACATTTAGTATATTAAACCTGGTGTAACATCACTTTCTAAAGTTCTGTTACATAGTCAAAAATCTTTGAATGGAATTTTAAATGGCTGATCCAAAATCTGGTACATCTGGGTATTCAAATGTAGCCCTGACAACATACTTAAGGATAATTTTATTCATTCGCTTTACTGAAAGTTCAGGAAGCTCTGGACAGATGGTCAGCTCACTCTTCTGAATCCCTTTTGTGCATCAAGTCTGTTGAAATCTTAGGGACGTGAGTCTCAATATCACAACAAAACATTTCTGAGATAAACAGTAGTTCACAAAAAGACACATAAAATTTTAATTTCTTTTAAATTCCCAGTTAACTAGCTTAGGTTTACGTAGTTGTAATTGTGTATTTCCTTTCTCTGCAGCTAGAATAAACATAAACTGTCACTCTCTGAAACAAAATGAATAAAATTAATATGGCGGGGGCAATTTCAGTGTATTTCCAAACGCTGCCTTTTCATAAACTTTAAAGAATATTTTGCTTTTGGGTCTTAATTTATTAAAACTTATGGCCTGGTAGTGTCCTGTCCATCCAGATGATGTTGCAAGTCTTTGCAAATATGTAGTACCTGATTAGATGGTTCAGGCCCTTCTTTGGTCATGCTCCAATCTTTTTGGATTGGAAGTGTTACTATCACAAGCACCAGTCACTGCAAGAAGTAGGAAGTGAAGCCGCTTCAAAGAAAACCTTTTTCCTTTTTTCAACTGTTTCAAACATTTGTATTATGAGTCATGGTTCCAGGAACAAAGAAACTCCTACATCTTGGGAGTTTATTTTCCACATTCCATTAACGGATTCTGAAAGGATGAATGGGACATTTGAAAATGCCAAAAAAAAAAAAAATCAATTTATTTGAGAGAACTTTTAATCATTTTACTGTGATATAATTAGAGGAAATTTAAAATTCAAAACAAGGCAAAACACTTCTTTGAAGGCCAGAGAAAAATTTTTCTGAATTTCCTAAGATCTTAATAAGGCCTGCCTACCTTAGGAGGTTTTTGTAGAAAGGAGCTAGTCTGAGTGCATTGTTTTAGTTCGTTAATTCACATTTATTCATTAACAAGTATGTATCAAATGTCTTAAGTGTTTCAATCAGCATGCTGTGTCCCTGGGGGTACAAAGGTAAGCAAGACAAATTCCCTGCTTTCCAGTAGCCCCTGATCTAGAAAGGAAGGTAGAAAATATACCCCAGTCAGTTCAAGGCAACAGAGACAGAACTTTGAGATGCTCAGAATGGGTCAGAAAGAGAGGACCAGGAAAGCACCTGAGTCATCTTCAGAGCAGGCCAGTGGACCTCATGTTGTGCTGGTCTCAGAGAGATAAATTGATTCAATCAGCCATCTCCCAAAGTCCATTCCCTCCTGCTCCTTTCTATTATATGTTTTCTCTTCTTCTCATTCTACTCTGACCTTCCTCATTTTTCTCTTGTCTTTCTTGAATGCCCGTTTACTCCTCTGGGATTCACTTCTCACACATTCCCAACCCCTCAGTCTTCAGTTCTCTGCTCTCCTTTTTTTAGGAGGGTCTCTGTTGAATTTTGAGAAGGTTAATAGTTTTGTGAAAATTATTTCAAAAGTGTTTTAGGTACAAACTTCCAACTCCAAAAGGTAGGAGTCCCAGGGCTGTGATGTACATCATAGTAAGGAGAGTTAATAAATTGTCTTGCATATTTGAAAGTTGCTAAAGAGAGTAAATCTTAAAAGTCCTCAGCACAAGAATAAAAATTGTATCTGTAGAGGGTGATGGATGTTAACTAGACTCACTGTGGTGATCTTTTCACAACATATAGTGTATGAATATTCAATCATGTTGTACATCTGAAACCAGTATCATGTTGTATGTCAATTATATCTCAAAAAAAATGGCCAAAAGAATTGTTTTAAAGACTGCCCAGCCCTGGAGTTGGTTTTTCTTTGGGCCAACTGAGAGTGGAAGCAAAGACAGGAAGAGGGAATGGTGGGGAATGGGAATGGGCAGGTACACACTATTTTCCCCTGAACATTTCCCTTTTCTGTAAGATCTTTCTTTTGTCTTTGCCTTTTTTTTTTTTTTTCTTTTTGATTGGGAGGGATAGATCTCATGGGGAAGAAAATGGTGAAGAGGTAGAGAAGCTGAATTAATTTTTCCTGGGGGAACTGCACTTGGCCCAAAAAAGGCAAAGTCTTCTAGACTATTCTTGGGGTGGCCCACAGGCTTATGAGAATCACCCCTTTCTTTGCCCGAGCTCTTATTTTATGTGCATCTCTATGCTCAGAGGTCATATGCATGCTTTCATTTGATCCTCACACAAAGTCCAGCGTGGACAGATCAATATCCACATTTACATCATGGCTTACCACGCGCTATCAGTGATGTCACTGAATGCCAAGTTGGGAAGAGACGCTGTCAATCGGCATTCCAGGACCCGTGGGCTCCGGCAACCCACTAAAGGCATCTCTAGTTGGTAGCACATGTATAGGATCGAGCTTCCTTACCTACTCTCTACTAACCAGTCTCCAACTTAGTAAGTCTCAGACTTAAGTAGCTATTCTTGAATGATCCATTTTTAGTAGGGACACTTGCTTTGTTCCCCCTAAAGTTCTCCTCATTACCCAGACTTCGCAACCACCCCCTGCTTCCTACCTGTTTACTATCCCTTCTCCAATCCTTTCTTATTCACTGCTTCCCCCTCCACTCCCTGCTGCTTACACCTTCAGACTGACTCTAGCTGAGATGCCTTGTTGCAGGGTAGGGGCAGGAGCTCTCTGCAGCCTGACTGCTGGGTCTAAATTCCAGCTCTCTTTTACTGGCTGTGTGACCGTGGGCAAGTTACTTAGCCCCTCTGTGCTTTTAACGTTCTCATCTGTAAAGTGGAGGCAATAATTATACCACATAATATAAAACCCTTGTTATATCGGCCTTGGAAACATTAGTTCTATTGGTTTGTTTACTCCTGGGCGGCCTCCGCTATCTGAGTGTTACCTCTTTCTCCCTGCCTGTCCTTTTGCTGCCATAAGAAAACCAGGACCTGTGCCTTTCACAACTGTCCCATGTCCTGTTTGGCTCCCTCTGGGTAGCCACACGATCACCCCCAGTCCCACTGCCTGCCTCTCCCCACCCTCCTTAGCCGTCCATAGTCATCCCCACTCCCCACATGCCTCACTTCATTTCCCTGACATTCCCTGGAAATGTCAGGCCCTTTGCTCTCACCAACAGAAGGATGTGGCGAACACAGGCCTTCCCTAGGCTGAGAGTTTGTTCGCTATGTTATTTCTCTTGCACCCCTCACCCCCACCTTTTGGAATTAGGTAACTTTATCCTGCCCTGGACTTCCAGGTGGCCCAGTGTGAACACCTTGATTTAACTTTAGAATGGAGTTGAGGATAGCTGATTTTCTTCTTGGCTAAAAGGTGAATGTTGAATATGTGGACCTAGCCAGGGCAGTAAACACCTTTATGGCAATCCCCCTGATCACTTTCTGATCACTTCATTCCAGACCTGGCCCCTGGGAGAAGTCTGGCTAAGGTGGAGATGGCCAGTGCTGCATTTATTTTTTGTCTAATCCTTATACATCTTTTCCCCCACTAGGGAGACAGTTGAGTTTGGTACCTCCTTTCCCAGGATGGAATTTGACAAGCTATTCTGGCTACATCACCGTGAATAAGACTTACAACAGCAACATTTTCTTCTGGTTCTTTCCTGCAAAGGTAGGCCTGCAGCAGTGCCCGCACAGGAGCCTGGTGCTCAAGAGCTGACTGTGTTGATCCAGGTGGAAACGTCGGTCTACAATCAACCCAAGGGTGGTTTTTTGTGTTTTTTTTAATCTTTTAGATTTTTTTTTTTTTTCTAAAAATAAGTGCCAGTGATTCCATGTAGTGTTCCTGTTTATGTGCAGGAAACAAATGTTAGTGGGGGAGGTCCAACTTTTAAATTCCTTGCAACCTTATTCAGAGTATTAGTGCTGCTATCCTCTTCCTGCCACGATCTTCTTCCTATCTTTTTGTTGCTTTATTCTAAAAATATTTGGGGGCAGGGATGGGTGGTGGGGAGCAAGGAAGGACAGGGAGAGGGGAGATCCCTGAAGTTCACAGGTCATGCATGTCTAAGCCTGTCTACATTTAGTCAGGCATTGACTGCTCTGTCTATGGATTTTACAGTACCAGTTACTGTTGTTATACTCACTCCTTTGTGTATCCAATACCCACTTACTGTGTAGAACTCTGTGGAGACGTAAAAGGCGAGAGAACTGAACTCACTCTGTGGGCCGTTAGGGGAAGGCTGGGAAGGACTGGTGACCCAGGATGGTTTCTGAGGAGGGGTCTCTTCACCTCACATCCGTACAGACATAGGTTCATATATCCTTGTACTTTACCAGCTGTGTTTAGCTCAATTCAAGGTCACATGGTGCTTCAGCATGGACAGATCCCTTTAGGCTTATGGATACTATTGGGGGTTATTGTAAGAGGTACTGAGATGCATACATAAATCTTATCCCACCACCGGGTAATTTTCTATTTTTATTTTCCAAATTGAGTTTGCTTCAGAAGCCAGAGAAAACAAAGAAAAAGTTATCCCTGTGGAGGGTAGTGTTTATTTTTGCATACAATTTGCATTTAACAGCACTGTATATGTAATGACTGCATAAATTGTTTAAACGAAGTTTCTTCCCTTGGTACTGTGGGGCTTTTCATTTCTGCTTTCTCAACCATGGCCTCTGATTGTTCATCAGGTGGTTGTGTGGGGGAGTGGAGAAGGCCTGTAAGAAATGGTGAGGGATTCCAGGTTCTTAGTGGCTGGGGCTCATAGTAGTTTTCGGGCTGTCACCACTCTGGGAGGCCTCTCCAGGACCCCTTATTTCTTCCTCATTGTACTCGAGTGAGGCAAGTAAGGTTCCTAGAGCACAAAATTTAAGGACTCACTTTCATGGGTGAGCACCTAAGAATTGATGCTTTTGAACTGTGGTGCTGGAAAAGACTCTTGAGAGTCCCTTGGACTGCAAGGAGATCAAACCAGTCAATTGTAAAGGAAATCAGTCCTGAATATTCATTGGAAGGACTGATGCTGAAGCTGAAACTCCAATACTTTGGCCACCTGATGTGAAGAACTGACTCACTGGAAAAGACCCTGAAGCTGGGAAAGATTGAAGGCAGGAGGAGAAGGGGATGGCAGAGGATGAGATGGTTGGATGGCATCACTGACCTGATGGACATGAGTTTGAGCAAGCTCCAGGAGTTGGTGATGGAGAGGGATAACTGGCATGCTGCAGTCCATGGGGTCGCAAAGAGTTGCACACAACTGAGGCTGCACTGATCTGAACTCATGGGGGTACAAGTGCAAGGCTGGCACCTGAGTGTCCTCTAGACTCCTGCTGGAACCCCTCTTGGGGGAGCCCAACTGGAAACCAGAGGGCAAGGGAGTCTGGTCCATTGAGGTCTGCCTACCAGGGCATGGAGCCAAGTGGAGACTGGATTTTCAGAAGCGGTCAAGAAAATATCCGAATATCCACTACAACCGATGTTGAGGACAGTTGGTATAAATTAAGCCTAGAAAGATGACCTATTTTTGACAGGTGGGAAATTTCCGTGTGTTCTTAGAAGTCTCTTAAACTTTATGCCTTTCAGAAACCATACTGTATGGTTTGTGGTATCACATCTATCTATATAATATGCAAATACAGGCGTTTATCATGAATTGCAGTTGTATGAGTTTTCAATTGCCATTGTACAAATTTAGTCACTTAAACAACACAGATTTATTATTTCACAGTTCTAGAGATCAGAAGTCCAATACAGGGCTCACTGGCCTAAAGTCAAGTTGTTGGCAGGGCTGCAGTCCTTCTGGAGGCTACGGGGGAGAATCGGTTTCCTTGTCTTTTGCAGTTCCTAGAGCTGCTGGCACACCTTGGCTCAATGGCTCCCTTTCCTGTCTTCACAGCCCATATCAGTGAGCTGAATACTTTGCACATTGCATCACTTTGGCCAACTCCTTATTCATCACCTTCCCTACTCTTGTATTTTGCCTCTCTCTTCATATAAGGACCCTGGGATAACTTTGAACCTACCTGGATAATCCAGGGTAAATCTCCCTATTTTAATGTCAGTTGAATAGCAACCTTAATTCCATCTACAACCTTATTCTTCTTAAGAATTAACATATTCACATGTTCTAGGGATTCGGATGTGTACATCTTTGAAGGCCTTTATTCTGTGCAAAATGGATACTTGAATTTACCCAGATTAGTGATTCACAATATGTTGTTTTATTTTATTGTACTTAGGAATGATCTTCAAATTCCCCAGAGATTCTGACTCATAAACTAGGAGAGGCTAGCAAATTGTAGGATTAGCAGGTGAACCATGCTTCAGAAATCATCGCTTCAGCCTACAGGCTACTATCCTGGATTCAGTGTTCCTGACCCCAAAGTGACTCACACTTCTTTTGCCAGAAAGAAACAGCCAGAGCAGGCAAACCCCGATGGAGGTGGTTGTGTCATCCCATGCACTTACCTAGGATGCAGGCTAGAGTGGGGGACTGAGGAGGCGAATGCAGCCTTTGGGGTCAGCTCTCCTAATCCTGCCGCTGCTGGGTCTCCAACTCCAACGCACTCTGCCTCTCCACCCTCACCCTAGCCCTGCCAAACCCGATTCCTTACTCTCTCTTCTGCTTTGGTGGCTGGTTATGATACCAGTGAGCTCCTCATTGATTTCTGCATGATGTCTTTTTTTTTTTTTTTTGGTAATGATCCAGATTTGTGAAAACAGGGAAGTGATTAAACAAAAACAAAATGAAGACTCAGTCTTCTCCTTTTTAGGTTGCCTCTAAGCAGGTGGACAGCTTTATCAAGGAGACTGGTGATTCTCTGGGACTGTAAAGCTGGTCAGGGAAAAGGGCTTAGAGTTTACACTCACTCCTAGTTGCTGGACTGAAACCCCTTGCAGTAAAATAACTGGACTGTTGGGGCCCCCCTTTAGTTAGAGAAGACCTGCCTATGCACCCCCAGATTATGTTCTCTGGGGGCCCAGAATTGTAGCCCTAGACACATTCTAAGATGATCCCAGAAGACTTGAAACTGAGGGCACTGCAGCATGAAAGATGCTTAAGAATATAGTGTTCTATTGGAAGCGATAGACTGTGCTTCAGGAGAGAGGCCCAGAGAGATGAAACGACGGTTCTGTTGACAGGTTATCACCACACGGCAGCTGGGATAGATAGTTCCAAGACCTCCTTCGGGGGAGCCCACACACATAGCCAGGTCTTCAAGGCCCCAAAGCAACCTTTCCGGCCGAGGCCGTCAGGCTATAAATTATGGACCAGGCCATTTTGGGTGAAGGAGATAAAGCATGCGACCAGGAGAAGCAGTGGTCACTGAGATGGCAGAGAGTTCCTTTCATTTGGCAGAAATAATAGTTTGTTGCCTGTCACAGGGGAACAGCTGATACGATCATCAGGAGAGAAATGATCCCTTACGAAAATTGAAGGTAGAGAAAATAAGAGACCCGGGAAGGATGCCACACTTGTAATAGCCCCTGGGTAATTTTTTGGACTGCTCTTTCTCAAATTAATTGTGTTTCCTGTTATTTCTGTGAGGCTCCCCTCTTATTATATACGAATCAGTGAATAATGGGTTCCAGAACTTGAAATTGGTGTTCAGTTGGGGGACACAATCAACATGAGAAATGAACAGTCATTTTTCATAGAATAAAAAGTACAATGAAACCAATAAAAATGTAACGATTATAATAGCTGCTCTTAATTGAGTGTTGACTATGTGCTAATAAGTACTGTGCATTTTTCTTTAATCCTTACCGAAAACCACATGAGGAAGGAATTACTATCTTCATTTTACAGTTGGAAGAGAATTGCAGAGATTAGATAATTAGTTCCAAGTTTCCCAACTAGAATTGGGCAGAATTAGACTTTAAAACAAAATCTCTGTTGGAGAAATATTTGCTCTTGATCATCCCAGGTTGATTGTGAGAAAACAAATTATGGAGGGCAATAAATTACAATTGTTAAAAATATGGCTCTTGAGTCAGGCTTGGATAAAACCTTGGCTCCACTCCTTATGCCAAATGTGACCTTGGGCACATTCTTAACTTCTCTGAGCATTGGTTTCCTTATTTTAAAATGAGGCTCAAAATACCTACTGAACAATGGTTTTGAGAAAATGAGATAATATGATAAAGTCTCAGAATGGTGTTTGATATCTAATAAGTAGAGATGCTATTATTATTTCATTATCAGTATCATCTGTCATTACTAGTTTTCCTACTATTAACACAAATACTCTACAGAACAAAACCAGACATAATTTGGGACGTTAAAGAAGGCAGGAGATAAGGAGCAATTCCAAATTGGAAGGAGTCGGATGCCAGCCAAGAATGTGGATTAATTGTTACTGGGAAAGGAAATTACAAAGTAAAATTGGGATTTTTCATGTTTAAGAAGGTTAAAAAATCATATACTATTTTTTTGAAATTAGCATCCTTTTCATTAGAAAAAGTATCCAGCATTTAAGTTTTTCTTATAGGAGCACTTTGTTGGATGCATTTATCTAAAACCTGTAGATTATTCAACTGCCATAGAGTCAAAGTCTGAGATGTCTAGAGCTGGGTCTAAGCCCCTTTCGGGCTGCCCCAGTGGCTCAGCAGTGAAGAATCCACCTGCATTGCAGGAAAGGTAGGACACAGGTTCAATCCTTGGGTTG